AACCTATAAGACATAAAATTAAATTAGGTTTTAAACTTTGAAAAAGATTTCCATTTCATTATTAAAATACAGTTTCATACAGAAAAAAATCATTTTTAATACAATTGACACTAAGATGCACATGCATTTCTAATCTCTAATAATCAGAAATAATATTTTTAAATTCATATTAGGAAAACCATGTTATGTCTATATCTGAGCTTCTGAATTCTTGCCCATATAAGGTCAATTGCATAAGCAGGCCTCACTGAGAAACTTCTGGAGAGCCTTCCAGCCTCCATTACTGTGGCTCTCAACCAGGATACTTTTCAGCACCAGAAGATTTTTGGAAATGTCTGGAGACATTATCTATCATCGCCCTTAGAAAACACAAGTGGCTTTTAGTGGGTTGAGGCCAGGGATGTTGCTCATGTATCTCAGAATGCACAGGACAGCCCCAATGAGGAAGATTATCCTTTCTCAAACGGTGATCACATGTCACTGTTGAGAAACTTTGCTTTCTTGGAAGAGGCAAAAGTCTAATCACTGCTGATGGCCTTGTTAGAAAACTCTTACCAAATAATGCAAATATGATTCTTGTTAACACTTGAAAGGGTTATGACTGGTTCTTCTAGAGAACTGGTTTTTTTCAAGACATGGCATAAGATTTGGGTGGGATTATATATTTAAATAAACTACCACAGTTTTGAAGATTGAGACCCTCTGTATTACAAGAGATCTACTGATTATGAAAATTTTAACATGAAAGTGAATTATTGTATTCCAAAGGACTCATGTCAACTCTTGCCTTACTGTTTATTTGAACTACTTGTTGGAGGCTTTTTTTCTTTAAATAGTGATAATTACTAATATCTGCATCTTTATTAGAAATTTTGGGTTTAAATGACACAAATTAACAATAATATTACAGCATATGGCTTTTAAACAGACATAATCAAGTGGTACTAATTAATTGGCAGAATTTCTTTTGTGTATATTGACATACTCATAGCAGTCACTAAAATTTCTGATATGTAAGTGAAAGTAAATAATATTAATGGCATTTTCCTTCAGTTAAGCAATCATTTGTTGCTATTGCCAGTTTCTTGCTCAAGATAAAAGCATTCCTTTTTAATAACTGAGCATTTTCCTTTAGCAGACTCTAACCCTACGCACCAAAATGGCATTTCATGTTGTACTTTTCTGATAAATTTTTGATAGTTGTGTGTGTGTGTGCATGTGTGTTTGCCTGTGTGCATGTGTGTTTAGGTTTCCACTTAAAGTTGAGTGCCAAAGCTACAGTACTTATACATTTTCTAAATGTGTTTTAAGCAATAAGTTGTACAACATTTTTAGAACATGTGTTAAACTATTTCTCTAAGAATGAAGCTCTTAACAAAACATAAGCACTCTGCATGGGATCTTAGCAGCAAAGTGCTTAAAAGATAAAGTAAGAATTGGTGCCATGGGAAGAACACCAGCTGTAGAGCGCACAGGTCCATTATGGGAAGTATGGTAGTGGGTAGGGAGAAAATGATTTAATCAGGAGTAAAACCAATTTTATTATAAGGGCACGCAGGGGGTGTGGCACCATAGTGAGAGGGACATTTCAAAATATCTGACAGATTTCAGCAATGTGAAAACCCCGTTCTTTAAAGTGACAGTAAACCCCATCAAGTCCCCCTTTTTGATGCTATTGTTAGCAGTTGACTGTTTAAAGCTGGCCTGCTAAGATGCTGTCGGCCTATTTCAATAGTGTGTAGCCAAATAAAAGACTAATTGTTGAAACACAATCAATCAAAAATGATTGCAGGGCAGAAAGAAGGTCTTCTGTGCTGATTTTGTTGTGGATCATATTATTGTGTCATGACTGAGGTAGGAATGAAGAGTGAAAGAAGATGAAACTCACCCCCTCTGACATCAGCACATCCACCTCATTCTCCTTTGCACAAACACACTACTGAGCAAGATCAGCACTCTACCAGTCCTGGGCAATACACACATACACATAAAAATATAAAAATAATAACGGGCGTGGTGGTGCACGCCTTTAATCCCAGCACTTGGGAGGCAGAAGCAGGGAGATGTTTGTGATTTCGAGGCCAGCCTGGTGGTCTACAGAGTAAATTCCAGGACAGCTGGGGCTACAAGGAGAACCTGTATCATTTAAAAAAAAATAAATAAATAATAAATTTTAAAAATTAAATAAAAAAAAAGAAAAAAAAAAAAAAAAAAAAAAAAAAAAAAAAAACTCCAGTAGTGATTTGGGCTAATATGTTTTAAAAGGATATGAACAGTATTAGCAAAACAGCTCCTGCAGAGAATCCCTACAGTGACAGTTCTCAGCTTTTCTTAAATTTTTTTGGTGCAAAATGCTTCTTGGCATTCATAGAACTCACACTGGGGGCAGGGGGTGTGTGTGGCATGTGACCATAGGCTCAAGCCATCATAAGAAAAGAGAAAAAATTCCAGATGACCAAATACCTGTTTACCCCAGATTCTTGGATTTTTCAGTTAACTTTATATTGTAAATGATTAGCTTTCAAAAATCTTTTCCGTATTGCTTATTCAGAAAAGCAAATCCTACAGATCAATAGAAATGCCATTGTGTCTCGCTTTCCCTTAATTGTGTGTAAAGATGTCACTTTCAGACGCTAATCATCCTTTCTCATGTGAGAATGATTCCAGATTTTATATTGCGAATTACAGGAAGACAATAAACACCCTCACACTTTCTACAAAACCTTCGTTTCAGGATCCCCATTCCTCAGTGTTTCAGTGTGTCAATTCACTCAGGCTTCCCAAGCAAACATTTCTGTTGTTTCCAAAGAGTTGCTTAGCACTTGTGGTTTGTCTTCATTGGGTTATCATTTTTGACAGCTTTGCATAGCCCATGCAGGCCAACAGGGGTCTGTCTAATATTGTTGCTGGGCACATTTTTCTCACTGAGATGAAAACAGGAAAAAAAGATATGTTTGAAACAGTAAGAAGGAATTAATATCCTTTCTCGCTCAGTATCCTGTTCCTTGCTGACTTTATATCCAGGAAAAAAAAAAAAAAGAAAAGGAAAAAAGTGTTAGCCATTATTCCCTTGTACATAGCAAGGCTAACACATGTAAAGCAATAACTCGTTTTCTATTGCCATGTTTAGCATATGTCTCCTGTTGGCTCAGCAAGGCCTTCAGGCCGGTCCCTTGAGCCGGGCATCGTTGGCAACTCTTAGCTCCTCGGCCTCAAACCCAAATAGCTTTGAATCATGTTGAGCTGTGATGCTAATTTTCACACTGATGCATTATGGGAATAAATGTATCTGACATACTGTGTCAAAGGCACTGTCTCTTTGTGTCCCTTGCTTTTTGTTAGCTGCATTCCTACAGATGGTATTCCATTGAAAATGTTCCCTTCCTACAGAAAAAGGGAAGAAAAAAAAAAATCCATGCACAGCACCAAACCTCTAGGTGCAGAAGGCTGTTAACGGTCGCTGATGATAGTAGGCAAACATTAACATAATAATTAGTGTCTTGTAATTGTTTCATTAAAACCAGTTGTTCCATTTCTCCTCGTGTTTTCCCAGAAGAGAAGCTGAATTTGGACGACAGCCAGTGGGAGGACATCCACGTTGTCACCGGAGCACTGAAGATGTTTTTCCGGGAGCTGCCTGAACCACTCTTCCCTTACAGTTTCTTTGAGCGGTTTGTGGAGGCGATCAGTAAGTATCTCACAGAAACAGCAGTTGATGCAATAGGCTGGCATCATGCAATTATTAAACAGATAATAAGAATGATGATCATCATGACCACAGAGAACAGATAATGTTTCCAATATTCTATATCTGTCATTTTAGGTTTCGTGATTCTGATGGCTTGTTTCATTTCACACTCTGCGATATTATCTCTGTTTTTAAAAATAGAAATTATTCAGACCAAAAAAAAGAAGATAAAAACCTATTTAAGGTCACCAAAGTTAAGCTCCCTCAAATGAAAATAGCTTCTCACGAAATCTGCTTTAAGGAGTCACGTCTTGTTTTCAAGCCCTGCCTTTATATTTTCAGAATTGCACTGAGTTTGCAGACAAAGAGATTTTGCCATGGAACCTGACTGAAGTAAATATTATGTTTCATTAAATACGTGCTAAACCATTGGCTGAAGCATCGTGTTCTCTTGGCTCACTCATTTTTCATTCACCTGCACTAGTTTGTTTCTGAACAGTGTATCAGATAAAGGAACAGCAAGTTTCTTTGGATGGGTGACTTTTGGGGAGGATGAGTTACATCACTAACTAGTGAACAGTTATGTGAACTCCATGAAGCTGCCTTTTCTATTCTATTATTTTCTCATCTATAAAACAAATTAAAGTAAAAAATAAATGAATGAGAAAGTGAATGAATGAGTGAATAAATGAATGAAATATTTTCCATATACAAGAAAACTATTGTGGCTCCTTAGGAAGAAATTACTTGAATATCTTTAAATTTAATATCTTAGGGTACATTTACTATAATTGTGACAGCTTGGAAAAAGTTTCCTGGCAAGCAAGCTGATATAAGGAGGAAAGAGAAAGAAAGAAGAAAGAAAGGTAAAATTAAAAAGCTTGCAAGCCTGGCAGGAGCTTAATTAAAGTCCCAACAAGAAAAATCTCCAAGGAAAAATGTTCTGCTTAGGAGGTCTGATCTTGGCCACTGTGTGCGAAGGGCTCCCAGTCGTGAGAGTGGGGATTTGGGGGACCAGTGCTGGAAAACAGCCCTTCACTCCGCCCTTTCATTCTGTTTCTCATTGGGAAAAATCTTCACACTCTTTTAAAGCTTTGCAAAATGAAATCAAGAGGATAAAGCAGACAGTTTTCTCCCACAGTCTTTCTTTTCTTGCCTGCCCTCAACTTCAGATTTTCGTGTTACTGTGCTGGTTGTTGTTTAATGTAGTAACAGTCCTCTCGTTATGAGTTTGAAGTGAGCCTAGGATTCTCATCCTCATTAGGATTTTTCATCTCAGGAACACATCCCATTTCTCGGGGAGAGCAATGTTTTATAGTTCCCAGACTGCTAAACCACAATTTCAAAGGAATGATAAAATAGAAGCAAACATTAGTTTCCATCAGCACGTTCTGATGTTCTGTGCAGGTGCTTGTGTATGGGAAAGCATCATCCAGAGGAAATTTGAAAGACTTTCATTCTGGCCCCTGTCTTTAATTGTGTACATTTAATGATATGTATCACTCTGTGATCTCCACACTTTTAAGTGTCCATTATCTTTAAACACACTTGCATGTCTGCTGAGTTGGCAGCTATGACATGGACACCCATCATTTACACTTCAGGCTTCCTTCCGTTCACCTTAAGCATATGCGAAGCATGCCCTCAGAATGCATATGAGTGTGTACCTTCATAGAGAAGGGATAGTTTCTGGGATGTCTTAGACTTTAATCCAATTTGGACAGAATTTCAGCAGTTCAGGCGTGATCAGAACTGAGTACAGTCAAGCTGAGACAGGCAGCAGGCCTTTAGAGATGGCTTCAGAGAGGCCTTCAGCAAACATCTATGAAACAGGCTATGGTGAGAATCAATAACAGAGTGTTTAATAAAGTCTTTTAAAGGATGCAAGATTCTGTCCAGATGCTGGCAGTGTCTCTCCAGGTGAGCTGTGTTGGGAAAGCAATCTGAAACTGAACAGAAGAATATGTTCCACCAAAATTTGTATGTTGAAACCCCCAGGGTGAGGTTACTGAGAAGTGGGGCCTTTAATGTGATTTAGTCACAAGGAGGAGCACTCTTGATAAGATGAGTATGCTTATAAAAGAAACTTAGGGCCAGTGAGGTGGTTCGAAAAGGTAAAGTAAAGACACTTCCTGCCAAGTCCAATGACCTGAGCTCCATCCCTGGAATCCATATGTGGAAGGGGAGAACTGACTCCCAAAAGGTGTCCTCTGACCTCTATATGAACACCATGGCACAGACATGCACATGCATAAATAAACAATAAATAAATAAATATTAAAATAAAATGCACTTTAAAAAAACAAGTTTAAAAAAAGATCTAGAGAGATCTCACACCTCTTCTACCATGTGAGGACAGAGCTAAACATGCTAGCCTACAAATAACAACAATGCTGATTCAGCAACATATCCCTAATGGTACAATAGCGGCATTTTTATCTTGGGGGTTACCAACAGCGATGTAATTGAACTTACCTCCTGCTCAATAGGACAGAATTCATGACTGGTACTATAAAAGTAGATAAATACATGTGTTGGAGAGGTCATAAACCCTAAAGGAGAGCCTACCACTGCCACACTCCTAAACCACTTTAGGGTATCTTATAGCATGCCAATTAGACCAAGATATTCAATATCTTGTCTTAACTAACTTAGGATGCTAAAGCATCACTGTATAATATGTAGAATAGATAAAGACAAACTCACTAACACATATTTTTGGGCATAACTTTTATTTTTATTTTTCCAGTGCTGGGAATAGAATAGAGGGCCTCAGACATGCTAGGCGATTGCTTAACCCCTTGCCAATACCCCTAGTCTTTGAAACTAGTTCTTCATTCAAAATTTAGAGTAAATTCTAAGTTGCGATTACCATTTAAATATTACTCAGCAATGACAACGTGCCCACCTGGATCTTTGGCACTGGTAGAAGTCACACCAGAGGAAGAGTTTTCACTCCAACTGAGCTAAAAACATCTCTCAAAATCATGTGGATATTCATATCCAGGTCTCGAAGAGTCTTAAGTTTTATCATAACACATTATAATGCCTTGTAAAATTATCATAGTTTGCATTACCTTTTGTAAAATTTTGGTGAGAAGTTCAATAAATCCACCTGGAGTTAACTCCTTATAAAAAGGGTAAAGCAGCTCAGCAAACTCACGGGTTGTGGCCATAGGTGGTGGCCTGGTATGAGTCTTTTGCCCTCAGATTCTTGCCCTCTTCTTTTGTGTTCTGCACCATCACAGGATTGGCTCTAAGCAGCTCTATTTCACAGGCATTTTTTGGCAGCTGGCAGCCAACTGTGGCAGAAAGTGGAAGCCACTGGTGGGAGATACCTGATAGACACAACTTAAAGGGGGGAGGGACTTCTTTTGGCTCCCAGATTAAGAAGATATTGTCCATCAAGGTGGAAAAGATATTGCAGATTTTATGGTGATGGGAGTGTGCAACTGGGGCTTGTTACATGTTACCAACCAGGAAAAAGAGAGAGCTGGGCCTCAAATCAAAGCAGATATTACCTTGAAGGCCAGCTCCTGGGCATGCAGCTCTTCCAGCTATGCCCTACTTAAAGGTTCCACTACTTCCCAGAAACAATGCTGGGTACCATGTGTTCAAGCACATGACGTTGTGGAGGACACTTTACACCCAACCCGTAACAAGAGGGAGGCAAAGGCACTCTGCTTATCTGTTGATCTGTCATCCTTTGCTCTCACCTTCCCATCTGCCTCTGGTGGCTTTTCTACATGGAACTTTGGTTGGACAGGCCCACGCTCATCTCAGCTCCCATCTTGTGGCTCAAAGACTCCAGTCTTTGCCCTTCCACTTTGGAGGAGCTAGTGGCTCCTGACAGGACTGATTGCTGATTTTCCTCTCATTTTGGCACCTTCATCATTTGGATAAGCAGTTCTTTACATCAAATTAATTCTGTGTTGATGGAAATGCTTAAAATGGTTTCTGTAGTTTGCTTGGGAATGAAACAAAACTCCATTCATGTCAGTGTCATGGTTCATGTTGTCATAACAGTCTTTTCCTTTTCTGTTTCACTACTACTAAATCCAGTTTACTAAGGCTAAACATTTTTATTTGACCTCTGGTTAAACGATGTGTTACTCTTTCATGGAAAAGTCCCAAGGTGAGTAGACGAAATGGAATTTTACATCCATCTAGAATGCTTTGCATGGAAGGAAGAAGTGTTATTTCTAGTACAAACAACTCAGCTACCTGCCTGTAATATTTGAGTTATTTCACTTCTCATTGTATGTTTGAAAGCTCATCACTGAATATTCCAAGAAGAATGAACACACAAGGAGAAGGACTCCTTAGGGAGAAGACCATTCCAAGAAGAGAAACAATCGTTCTGCCTGAACCCCAACCCCAGTATCTTCCCTCTCCCTCAATTGGCCTTAAAATCTCAATCCACCTGCCTCTGCCTCCCAGGTGCTGGGATTACAGGCATGTGCCACCACACCTGGCCCAGCATTTACTTTTTTTTTTTAGTTGAATTAATGCAGTTATACAATATTCTACTCCATATAAATCCTATAAGACAAAATTAAATGCGGTTTTAAACTTTGAAAAAGATCTCCATTTCATTATTAAAATACACAGTTTCGTACAGAAAAATTCATTTTTAATACAATTGACACGAAGATGCATATGCATTTCTAATCTCTATATATCTGATTATTACTAGTCACAGTCGGTTACTTTCTGAGCTCCTTAACATCTGAGCATGGATATAAAGTCATCAGGTAGACTTCAATGGTAACGTTTTTCACATCTACCAATTATTAAGGAGCAAATATTTATGCTTTGAAGAATTTTTCTATACAACCACTTCTCAAGTAGCACCCTCCCATAGCCTCCCTCCCCCCTACTAGAGCCCTTATACTCTGATATCCCTGCTACTGTCTGCTGTGTTGTTGGCACCCCCAGCCATTCCCCACTACTTGTCCTCTGGTGAATCTAGTCGGCCTATCTAGAGGTCTTTGTTTTAG